ATGTAGTTGAATTGAATCAGTTCAGTTCAGATGAGACGGTGTGTGGAAAAAAAATAACACAAACAATTTATGACGTCGTAAAAAAGGAGCAAATGCGGTCTTCATAAAATATTTTCTTAGGAAATTAGATTGGGAATTCGACTGGAGCTCTCCCCAATGCGAACGAACTAACTACATACGTATGTATACCAATGGAACATCCAGAAGTCTGAATATAATTTAAAATCGCTAATAATTTCTCCGCAGCGAAAATAAAGTGTGAATAATTTAAGGCGAAATTGAAAATTTTGTATGTTTCGAATGTGGCCAAATTGTTTTTTTTTTCTTCTCATTCTTGTAAATTTGCTTGCTGCCAATGAGCCAAAGCACCGACAATTCGCCAACAATCAACGCCGGACTCGATATACTTTATTCATGGTTCGCACATTCACATCGCAATAGCCGAAATGCATTCGGCAACTCTCAAACAACACACTAACAGGATAGAAATGCAGGCGAGAGAGTGTGTCTTGCCTTTAACTTTAGGCTAATTCAGATGTTTTTTTTTCGTTCGTAATTTAGTGTAATTTAAATGTCAGAACGGGTTATTAAGATATCATGAAAAGAAAATGAAGTTACCATAAATGATGTTGTTTTCTTAGTTTTGGTTGGATACATTGGGCGTATGTTAAGTTGTGGTCAAGCTGTGTGCAAGTAATTCGTTGATTGTTGTGTGTTGTTGATGTTAGTTTTTTTTCAGGGCCAAGGAAAGTGTTTTCATTTGACGGTTATAAGGTGTTTTATGGGCCACATGTTTCGCATTTATGAATAAAACATTTTTGATTTGTTCCTTTTCGTTTCTTAGGCGAAGCGCTGCTCTGTCGCTGAATCCGATAGATAAATTCCTTTAATGTTGAAATGCCGTTTCAGTTAGTTTTCTCTTCGCTCCAATATCTTGCATATTTAATCTGGTCTTCGCTTTGCTTTGGTTTCCATTTGAGATCGTAGCACGAGTAAAGTGCAAAATATTTCCATTGCATCGCAATTTGGGCGGCTGACAAAAGACGACTCAAGTCGGCCCAAGGAATTCCTCAAAAACATATTTCACTCTTCAGTCCATACCTTAGTTTTTATTTTTTACCTGCCACAAGATACATCGACTTTGGCCCGATCAACCGTCTCTCTTCCTCTCTCGCTCTCTCTCACTCTGTGTGAGTGTTGTGTTTTCAGACTTTGTTATTGCGGTGTTACTTTATTTACGTTTCGCACCTTCATTTCTCATTTCACGTCTTAATCGGTAGGCATGCATTCACATAAAGCGAACAGTAAAGAGCGGCATAAAAGGAAACCCCGGCTCACCGAACAACATGAGAGAGAGAGAGAGAGAAACGCCAAAGCAAAACGTGAAGAGAGAAAAAAAAAAGCTATTTATCAATCACACGCAAATTTTTATTTTAACTGATTTTAATTGAATTTGCCCGTTGAAGCCGTTGTTACCATTTCGAAAATCGGCCGACGTAAGCGGAATGGAAGACAACAGAGAAAAATATGAAATAATTAATATTTATGTAAATGTAATTTCTGTGCTCGTTCGAAATTTATTTATTTTTCTACAGCAACGAAATTCGTTGTTGGCCTTTTTTTCGTATCTCCTTAAATGGCATTTAAATTGAAAATTCCGAGCGAGTGCTCCGGTTTTGCTGTTATCTTTAATGCTCTTGTTGATCAGCGGATGGTTTTTTTTTTCGGTTTTCTGGTGAACAAGTCATAATTTGCTATTTTTATGCCATTCAACGGTGCATCGGAACCGAATTTTAAATGTTAATTTATTGGAATACATAAATTAATACGAGCTTTTGCACTGTCCTTCGTCGAATGTCTTCTCCATCTTCAGTGTTCCTTATTAGCTTGCCGGCAGATGACATTCGCTTCGTTAGCTCGTTGCGGTGGTGTGAATCGGCTTACTTTACTGCCACCGTTACCAAACATTGTCTCATTTTATTAATTACATACTATTAATGTGAGCGTGAAATATGGCTGGTTGTATTTTATAATCTTTTTGCTAACCATCGGTTGATGCTGTTATTGCTGCTGCTGCTGCTGCTGTTCATTTCATGCGATTTATGTTGGCACTCGTTTCGCCTCGTTTTGTTCTCGTCTGCTTTTATTGGTTGTCATTGTGTGCTCAGATTTAAACTGGGGAATCACTGAGCAATTATGTTTAACACATTACTCTCCCAACACATTTTTAAAAAAAGCCAACGTTGATTTAATGTCGGAAATTAGCAATAATTAAATTGATCAAAATGGCATTTGGAACATGTGACAGACGATTTGTGATGATATGCAACACAGAAGCACACTTTAAATGTACAGCTATTTGGCTTATTAGTTTTCAACACGAAACTATTTCAACATTAATGGCTTTACGTTTAGGTGGAAAATGGTGGCTTGTTTTCTTCTCGTTTTAAATGAAAGCTGTGGGCAAAGTATAACAAGTATAAGTTTTTTCCAGTGGAAAATGACATTTTCTAAAATTCTAATCGCTTTTTGATTCAAATCGATTGCATTGCATCGATTTTGAGCACCATTTGAAAGTCATAGAAAATCCGCCCAAAAGACAATAACAACGACAACAACACAAAACACTGTAATTACACCAACTTGGAATGTGTTCATTAAATTAGATTCGAATTCGAATCGGTCGCCATTTAATATACCATCATCATCATTAGTCATTCAGTATATTCATGGCAAACGAAATTGATGCGCATCTTTCACATTTAATCGAGGCCTCGCGCACGAAACGCGGCATAAAAAAAAAACCCCGAAAACGTGAAGGAAAAATTAATTTCTAAATCGCATTAATTACACCATATTCAATAGAGTCGTCATAAATTTAACTATTATTGACATTCCATGTATACAATCAGCCACAAGCCAACACAAAAATGTGCGTACGGCAGGTACGCTTGTTCTTCGATTATTTATGAAATTGAATTATGGGCGATTGAATATGGAAACAAGTTGGGATGCATTTTATATATAGGTAGGTATATGTATATCTGGTTATTCACTTGTTGTTTTTTTCTCTCTCTCTCTCTCTCGCCTGTGCATGAGAATGTTTGTGTGGAATTGAAATGCTGGCTACTTTAACGGCAAATATTTGCCGTCAAAACCATTTATAACTAGCGCACAGCATGAGTACGATATCTCGGAATATATTCCACATTATTTGGTTTTTCTTTCAGTTTTGAAGCGATGAAGCGACGAAGCGACGAAACGCCGATTGTCGAAATGAAAAACGAAAGAAAAAAAAAAACCAACGAACGAACCAGGCAAACACACAAATTAATTAACATAAATTCAAATAATCTCGAATTTATGTCTCTCTTTTGTCAGATTTGCTTTCATATTGAGCGCGCTCTTTTCGGAATATATTCTATTAAAAAAAAAAGTTTGGAACCCAATCCTGTTTTCACACCGAAATCATCAACGTTTAACACCAAATTTATTCATAATTTTTTTTTTTATTTATCGGGCAACCAGTGACGAAAGAAGCGGCTCGATTAAGCTATAAAATGCGTTCTTTTCTCGATTGTGTAAATGTTTATGTTACTGGTTGTAGATTCAAACACATTGAATCGTTGACCATAAGAAGAACCTCTGCAGTACAGTGAACCATGAATGAAAATTCGTTCACAAAAAGGACACTTTTTCTCGGATAAGATTTCATTTTCTCTTTAAACAGGAACTTGATACAATTCTGAAAAGAAATATTGAATCGCTCCTTAAATGCGCATGTTCTGTCCCATCCTGAGACCTTCGGAGCACGGTGTTTGTTTTGATGTTTCGCTGAATGGACCTGCTAATTTATTTGTTTTGTCCATCTATTCGAAATGACTTTCATTCAACAGACAAAAAAAGCGCAATAAATAGCACCTTACATGGATTTTTCGAAATATTTTCGGACATTGTGTTGCGTGTGAAAAGAAAGTCGATTTCGGCATTGTGCCGCATTTCGGTTTGTCTATTCAATTTCCAAACGGCATATTGTCCGTGCATTGAAAATGTCTTTTCAATCGATAATTTAAACACACATTCTAGTTCATTATTGAGGTATTATTGCTCGAATCGTATTCAATAAATTTTCTTTTCTTCAACCAAAATCCCAAATAAAGAATCATTAATGCAGCACAAATCTCCGTTGATATTCTTCCAATAATGACGCGACAGAAAAAAAAACACACTACTAACGAATATCATAATCATAAACATTTTGATGTCTCATTTCATCGGCACAAATACATTTCAACACATTATACCAAATCCGTGATGCTCATACATACCTTAGCTTCTTGGCTTTATTCCTCAATAGTCTGATGTGTGGACTTGGGTTCAAGAGAAGAAAAACCAACAGATTAATACCATTCAGTGTGTGAGTGTGTGTGTGTTACTATGCAAAGGCAAGAACCGAAAAGTGTGAAAGAAAAATACAAATTCATGTCAGAATCTATAAATAACTCAGCAAAAAGAATTCAATGTTTATGAGCTAAATTTAATGGTTCATAAACTATTGCTCAAGAGCGAGAAAGCGAGAAAGAGAAAGAGAGAAAAAAGAAGAAGAATTGGTGTAAAGAAAACGCGTTCAGTGTTGTTTGAATCATTTAAATTATTATTTATGACTACGGGAAAATGTAATAGAAAAACTGTGCCAGACTTTGTGGAGCAGTTTTACGTCGATAGTAAATTATTATGCTCAGGTGCTTTACATATCTTCTTATTTCTTTTTAGTTTCCAAAGACCTTGTTTGTTTCGGGCAGCGATTAAAAAAAAAAATCGGGAGAAGAAAAAACACATTTCAACAATGGAAAAAAGTATCTTGAAAACAGGTTGCAAGTTATGATGTAGTTTCGCCTTTCCTTTTCTTACCTCATCCAATACAACGAACATCCTAATAAATTTGCTAGAAAAAAAAAGACATTCAATTCAATAGTAAACGAAATGAAAAGAAATTCGAATTGTTATTTCATTAGTTTTATACTTTATTGGTATCAATCAATAAACTTTCTCTCTTTGTCGCATATTCTGAGTGTATTTTTTGTTGTTGATTTTTTGTTTTTAGTACAGAAACACATTTGTTTTGCTTCCAATGCTAAAATGATAATAGGTTTTTCATTTGCTTTAACTTTATATAATATTGTAAATTGGTTTTTTGTTGTCTAATGTAATAATTCTACTGCTTTCACAAAAAAAGACTGTTTCATGTCTACATTAGGTTTTCTTTTTCTTCTTCGATGTTTCGGTTTCTATTTGTAATTGGCTACAATCAATGGGTGTTTACAGATAAAACCAAGGAATAAATACATACTGTTGTTTCTCTCATCAATGGGCAAATATTTTATTTACAAATATAGTTTTTTATGAACAGACTCTTGATATGATGCCTCTTTTTTTCTCTTCTTTCTCGTGATTATATCGAATTTGCTGCATGAATGCTCGTGTTTAAAATGCAAAAAAAAAAGATAAAATGAAAGGTTTCTCTCGTGCTTCAAACGACTGCTACAGTCACACAGTGTGAAGACAACAGAGAGATAAATTGAAATAAATGCAGTAGAGTGTAAACGCTTAAGTCAATTCGATATTTTACATTTTATTCACTGTTCTTGTACAATGTACAATTATTCTATAGTGTTTATAAGTAATAGGAAATTAATAGGAAATCATATTCACAGAATGCTTGTTTTTATTTATTTTTTCAATTAATCTTCAAATAAATACTAATTCAATTTCGAATGTTTTTATATTTATATTGCAATTGAGTTGTTTTATTTTTTGTTTTTGTTTTTTTTGTCTTCTTTCATTTCATATACGATTTACCAAGTTAAAGTTATTGAGAACAGAGAAAAAAGTCAGAATCGAGTTCAATGTGAGGTGAGCGCACAAATGAATCGATGTTCTCCACGCCACTGTTCCATTTATAGAACTTTAGTTGGGTAGATATAGTCTTAGTTTAAACTTACATGCACCAGAAAAAAAAAAACAAAATACTACTCTACATTCTTACACTGGTGAATAGGAGCTTCAATATATAGCTATTTACATTACATGTCTCTGGATTGTGATTTTTTTTACAACGTTTTCCTCCCCACTCCCTTTGTTTTTCTCTAAATCTCTACTTCATTTACCCCAACGAAAAAGAAAAGTGTAATCGATTGACACAGAGTGGATCGATTTCAATTCCACACTTCTTAAGTTAGTTGATAAAAATCCGGTTTCTCGCGATTTAAAGAGTCCAAAACATTTTTCCAGAGAGGAAAAAAAAATAAACACTAAAACGAAAAACGTGAGAGTTTCTTTTGCAACAAGATAAAAAAAAACTAGGATTCAAATGCAGGAGAAACAAGACCGCAGATCGTCGTTTCGCTCCGCTTCTGCGTTCTTGAAGCTTGTAAATTTAAAGGGTTTTAATTAATTTGATGTTTCTCTTCAAATTATTATCGTAAGCACTACATGGAATGTAGTTTTAATCGTTGGAAATGTCTGTTTCACAAGTTTTATCTATAAATCATTTTTATGTTGTCAAAAATAATTAAATAAATTTATATTATGTGATATTGTATTCTTCACTTATGTGTTCTAATGTACATTCAATGTTAACGGTCATTGTACATTATTTCACATTGGGAACGAAAACAATGAAAACATTTTTTTTTGAGTTATCTCAAAAGTGAATTACGTGAACATGATTTTATTTCATTTTTGCAATTAGGCGTAATTGTTTGATTTGAAATAAAAAACATGGACAATAAAATGAATAAATTTCGGTCCAAAAAAATGGCCTAAAGATTCTTAAAATTTTCTTGGAAAAAAAAAAAATAACCACAACAGTAGCCTACATTCCATGTAGTGCTAAAAATCTCGACAAAATCGATAATCTAATCAATGGTCCTCTGCATATCACGAAAGCTACGCGTAAATGATATTCCTTTTCTTCTTGTCTTGTTGGCATTAATCTGTACTATGCTTGGAGTGGCAATCGTCTGTGGTTTGCTTAAAAGATTGCGTGCGTTGAAAAATTCTCAACATTTCGTTGATGTTTCGTTGGGGTGCGGGCAGCGGTGGCGGCGGTGGTGGTGGCGGTACAATAACGACGTCTCACGTGTTATTGTAGAGCAATGATTCTATGGAAAATGGATTCGACCGGATGCTGATCTTTGGTGGTGCGTCACTGTCGCCGCTACTTTCACGACCGTCCGTGCTATCGCGTCGCGTCATTGAGCAATCTTCTGGTTCATCGTCATCGCTAACCTCGCCGACAACATCAATTTGAATGTCGTCATCTTCCAAATCGGATTCACTGTTAATTCGATGCTGTGCCAAGTATTCCGCTTTTAGCGTTTCAATATCCACGGTGATGCCCTTTGCACGTAATTTTCGCGCTTGACGCTCCAACGCTTTGGCCAATTTCTTACGGCGACGAGCTCTGCTTAGAGAAAGAAACAAACACAAACACACGGATTAGCCCAATGGATTTTTGTTTTTTCATTCAAAGCAACACACTCCAACGGAAAATGTTGATAAAAACGCCGGATGAAAACGAAAGAGAAAACAAGAAGCGGCAAACTGGTGCAATTAATTAGTGTACAATAGTCGATACTCACTTTTCCTTGGCTTTCAGTTCGTTCGGTGGAATGGGTTCGCCCGAGCATGATTGCGGGTGTGCATTGTGAGCTGGTCGACCAGGACCCTTCTTTGTGTGCTCCTTCTTTCGCCATTTAGCTCTTCGATTCTGAAACCAAACCTGTAAATAGACAACAAACCAACAACTCTTATTAGTCTCAATTTCGTTCGAGAATAAATTCCAAGTGGGACTTTGGTCATTTGACCGTCGTCTGAACTTATTAATCAAAACAAGGCAAAATGTCATCACGAGATGCGCAACGAGACCACCTTCAATTATCAAAATTAAGGTGTGCAAAGCACCATTCGGGGTGAAACTAATAAACATCCGAATAAACTGAAGTGGAAAATGGAAACTATAAATATCAATTAGATTCCATCCGATTTCTGTCTAATTTCATCTAATTTATTCTACAAGCATACGCTTGCCTTTTTTACTCCGATTCTCTTCACGCTAACCCTTCTGCACACCAAAAGTTTAACGCTAGCTAGTTTCTACGTTGTTGTGGTTTTGTTTTATTTAGTTTTCCTTTTTCCCAGTGAACGAACAGAAAAAAAACGCTTTGTACAAAGCCCCAGCATAAAGTTCGGCACCAACTTATCTGCATGTGCGAGAGCTGAGCACAGATTCCCTTTGCAATGAGTCGAGTCGAGACAGTAATGGATGTGGAACAAAGGAACAAACCTAGTAACAAAGACCACCACAACAACATACGATTATTGATCCAATTTCAGATTTCTCGTTCCGTTACATTCTTCGTGCTGTGATTTTTTTGCTGTTGCTCTTACTCTCTCACCCCGGTTCGTCTGTACCGTGGCCGTTAACTGATTTTCGTCGCTAGACAAGCGAACCGCATTCGTTTTCAATGAAGCATCCAAAACGAGTTAAATAATGAAGAGGAAAAATGCATAAAACAGATCCCGAACAAAAGGTGTGTAATGATATTGCCTCGAGTAAATCGATATCGCCATGTACAAAATTGAAACGGAAGGTAGAGAGCATGTGTGTGTGTATCTCTCCTCATGCTCTATCTATGTGTGTATGCGAGTAATTTTGGTGTTGCTATTACCCGTCATATAGGTGAAATTCATTGCTCATAAAATGGCGTGTATTTGGTAACAACCTCGGCCCGTGTCATTCTCGTTTTTTTATCATTCTAATCCAATTTGTTTTCTTCTTCACTTCATCCGAACATTATGTGGTCATATAATCAGTAATGTTGTCGTTTATGACACTGAAACCAACTTTATACGGAAGCTGACACACACAAAAAACCAACGTTGAATTGAATCCATAACATTTTCACTCTGATTAACTCGCAAATTGCTGCTAATGAAATTTTATCTTTTGATTCGAAACGGAAAAAACAGTGACATTTTTCATGATGAAGAAGAAAAAAACACTGTGTGGTTTGAAAATGAATTTTGCCTGAACCAGAACAAAGTCATAATAAATTGAAATCAAATATTGATAAACAATTTGCGTTGTGTATAAAAAAAAACAGCGTATATCGTTTTCGTTAGATTGTTTCTTGATATGTTTGTAACTGAATATAGAGTACATTTTGTGTGTCTATCCGTTATTGCAAGCGATATCAATATGCTCGTTTATTTTCATATTCCCCGTACATTGTTTGGCGAGTACACAGTCTCTCTGTGTGTGTGTCGATGCACAAACCACAACGTTGTGCGGAGCAATATGCGTGTGTGTGTGTGTATGTGTTCGTGTAATGACACCCGTGCGCGACTCTGTGTATCGTATGTTGGTGCTAGTCGCTGAGCAGAGTAATTTATGGGCGGAGCCAAATCATAAAGCGAACGATGTTGTATATAAATGTAGAAGAAGAAAATCAATCGTTGTTCAAGAGTGCGTTCCACAGACGACGGCTGCGATGGCTGGATGGTTTTGTCTGAGGCGCATACGCGGTTACCGTTTTCGATTTTACATCAACAACCGCATCTTTTTCAATTGAAATAGCAAATTATTTTATTGGGTTCATTCTTGTCGGTTAACATTTTGATTCATTTATTATTATTGTATTCACGCTTTTCGCTTCGCTTCTCATCTGCGCGCTATCGCGCATTTTCTATCCCATGCTTACTCATACATATGTCAATAAAAGTTCAGACGTCTTTCGTTTTTTTTTTGTTCTTCATCAATGGAGTTTCTAAGACAATGCGAAAATAATATAGCATTCACAATATACGTAATGAATGTGAAAATGTGTAATTTTCAAAAATTCCACATCAAGGAAATTAATGCTGATTTGAGCGAAATCATTTTTCAAATCTCAATAATCGTGATTCAAACAAGAGAGAGAAAAACTACAAGATCGATTGCAATTGAAGGCAAATTGAAATGTATGAGCAAAAAAGTGACAGCTCTCTGATCGTAAATTTTTCAATCATATCAAGCGTTGAAAAAAAAGAAACAACAACCCAACTGCTTTAATGATTAAGTTATTTTCGATCATAATGGCTAGAGAGACAGTTTTGAGTTGGCAGCGCAATTATTTTGATGAATGGCTTTTTCGGTATATGTATTATAATGGCGCGTTATGCGAACTAAAAAAGACTCAATTGAAATGCTGAAAAGAGTTCCGACGGTAAAATATTGTGAAATACTACGATATGATGTGGAAAAAGGAGGAAAAAACGCGCAGCAATATAACCAACGAACCAGACGCCTGCATGTAGAACTATTTTTTTTTTGTTGGATAAAGCACTTTACACGAAACAGGATTTTAATTGCGACATGATACAGTCTAATGTCTGTTTGGGAAAAAATGGTTGTTGAAGCAAAACGAGGAAAATCACGATCTCTCTCCCTTTCTCTCTCTCTCTGTCGGCTGGAGAGGTAGACAGTCGATGTGATTGTAAACACTAGCAATTTATTTTAACTATTGGCTTGTTTTGATTGTACTGCGGTTACATTTGTCTTTGGAGCGTACACTCGATTTCAAATCCAACCGAAAGAACATCGAAAATCATGAATTATTTGCGCACATTATGAAATGTGCGCTCCATTGCCAGTCGAAAATTGAAATTGGTGAAAATGCGCACATGTGTCAAAAAATGCGAATACTTTTATTGAACCATTGCATTGGTAAGCAATTTGTGTGCGTCATTCAATGTGTTTTATGGCCCGTAGTTTTCGTAGGCTTCTTCCCCATTTGCCTGTAAATATTCACATTAACGGTCGATTCGATTCCACACCCACACCGACGCCGTTTCGTGTGCATTCAATGCGATATGGAATGAAACAAAATAAGAATGGCAAAAGACACACAATCAAAAGTTACCAATGAATGTTGGCTCGAGAACAGGCAAAGTGAATTGGAAACATGGACACACAAAACCATAATATTTATTAGAAAAATAGGCGTTTGTAAGCAAACAGGAGCATTTGTGTCAAACCGCAATAATAAAAAAAGGCAACAACACGCACAAAATGATTCAACTAAGCAAAAAAAATGACACGATTAGAAAGTAAATAAAAAAAACAAAAGAAAAGGGAATCAAAACGAAATGTTGCACATATCATTGTATGCTTATCTCGTTTTCTCCACTTCGAAGGCCATTAAAGGAGGCAATTGCGTTCATCATACACTTCAAGAGGTTGCAAAAGAAAGAAAGAGAAGCGTAAAGAAAATCGATTGTATCGGTCGACTTATGACATTTGATTCGAATAAATATTCATTCCGCACTGAAGGATTTCGATTTCCTTTTCTCGATCGACAAAACAACTAAATAAAACCACAACCAAATCGAATATTGACTAACACTTAATATACTATTTGTTCGAATGCTGTTGATTGCTCTTCGCTCCGCTCGCATGCTCTTGCTAGTTTGCCATGTGATTTGTTTTGGTTTTTGGCCGTTTGGTGCCCTCAGCACACAAACCGAAAAACGACTCATAAACTATCATGGGATTTGACTTTGATTGTGTTTTATGTTCACTACTTATGTTCATCCGTTTTTCACAGTTCAACTGTGTGTACAGTTCGACACCAGAAAAGAAACCCAAATCTCGACCATATGTTACATTCGTTTTGCACTTGACGATGGTATCACGATTAAAACGATGTGTAATCGGCCTGTGTACGATGTCATTTGAAAAGGTCTGCGTGTAAGTGTATGTATGCTTTTTTTCTGTGCTGTTTCTGTCTTCCTCCCCCCGGTTTGGAATGAACCGTCTTCATTGTGTTCAGCGGGCCTGTTGTTCAAATGTAAGGGCGACAAGGACCGAGCATATATTGTATTAGATTAGTTTCAATCAGTCTCTGTGGAATTTTTCTGTTAGCGTAATTTCATGTTTCCCTTTTGTATTGCGTTTGCATTGCAACGCAAACAGAAATTTCATACGTGAGTTATAACGTATTCGCTCCGCTCAGCGACCGTTGGATGTGTAATAATTTTTCTATTTGACGCTTTGCGCCACCGATTTATTTATTATACTTCTGAGATTGGCTCTTTCAAATTAAAACTAATGAAAACACACAGACACTCGCTCGCCCGCTCGCCACATACAAGAACCTGCTTTGTCGACAAGTTTTGCCTGTGCCAAAGAGAAGAATGACCCAAAATAGTTTATTCCATTCGGAAAGGTCGTAAATATTTAATTTTCAGACTTTCAATGTTACGACTCTTTCTCGGAACGTCGTCAAAAGGTGAGAGATTCGCCATGCAATAAATGAAGATTAAGTCGATTCGTATTTGTTTTAATACATTTCATTTGAATGAGAAAATCTTATTACATTCGTAGTGCCTGTCAAAATAGAAACGAAACATGTTACACAAGCCATTAGCCACATTCTATTAATTTTCTTGAACATTTCCATCAAAATACACGGCTAATGTGCGGACATGAACTGCCGAATTTCACTGTTATATTCGTATGGCTTCGGCAGTAATCATCGAAAATACTTTTTTTTCCTGACCACATGCGGCGAGGGTTGACATTCACAAAACATAAACACACAATCGGTCGGCACACAACAAAAGAACAACCGATTACATAAATGCACACATCAAAATTTCACCAGGCAAATAATCACCTCACATTATGTTTTATTATCGTCAAAATTACTAGCCGTTTCATTTATTTCGTTTTTTTGTTGTTGATTTTCGTATTCAGTGTTATATTTCGTCGATTCGTTCGTTCGCTGGTTGGCTGGAATGAAAATGGCCGAACTTTCTTTTGCAGCCAATTTGAATTTATTTTCCACATTTGATTGATTATTACGTCTCTCAAATGCCGACTTTTATGCAAATAAGCAATTATCGCTGCGGTCCGGAAAGGACAGAATTTTCCCTTTTCCACCCGCCGGAAACCAAGTGGAGCATAATTTTCTATAGATTTCAATTTGAGTTTCCTCCATCTACCGACTAAAATGCATGCAACACAAACAACAATTTCTCCACCGAAATCATTATTATGCCGGATCAATAAAGGATGTTATTTTTTCGGCTTGGATTTAATTTGCTTGTAGCACATAAAACGGAATGATGTGCTCAAGTTGTTTTTATGAAGCACGAAATATGCAAATTTTTATTTGTTTGTGCTAAAAATTCAACTTCATGTTTTATCGCAAAGCAAATGTTTTTTCTTTTATTGCAACAACAAAACTGCAGGAATTTTTCATTTGATTGAAACATCAACAAATTTTCGTAGCTTGTCGAATTTGTCAACAAGGGAAGAAAGAGAGAAAGAGAAATAGAGAGATGCATATAAGAGCCCGAAAGATACGACAATGTAATTAAAAATGAAAATGTCCATCAAAAAGTTCTCCGGTTGCCACTTTCATTGCTTTTTACCTTCCGAATTACGTGAAACACGTCTCCATCAATGTTAATGGCCTTTAAAAAAAACACACATCTATATACGTGTGTGCATTTTGCCGATCGTATCAGTTTTGCTCTGGCATTTTATACGAGTTTTGTTAATCATTTTGTTGCACAGTTAAGTACCCAAAATGTGCTACTACATTTTTCTTCGCTGTCCAGCCGTGTAACCACGACGGCAGCGGTAATGATCGATCCGTGCGTAGATTGTGCGTGCGATAGGTTTGAGCATTCTTATGTACATATAGCAACGGTGCAAATGACCAAACATGAACGACACTTTTTTTTTGGCTCGACCATTTTTTTCTGTGGGAAGTGATTATTATTTAACGTATTAATTTCTTCATTTCATTCAATTCACTCTCTTGATTTGTATGGTCGCAACGAAAATTGATGTGTATGTTGTTGTTTTTTCCTCTCGTTGCCAGTCTCTAAACTATTGTCGCATTGTGTTTTTTGAACTGTGATTGCCTTTCATTTGAATGTGTATTTAGTTGTATTTTCGTTGTATATTTTGAGGTGGAGTATGTAATTAAGCTTTCGGTTGTCGTTATTATTTTATTCCCATTTTTGGGTGTTTTTGGTTTGTTCTCATTGTTTTTTTTTTTCAGTTCTCTTTGGGCGGACAGCAAAAATCGCTGGACATTTCATTCTAGTCGTTCGCCAGTCGCCACACCATTGTGATGAATGAATGGTGAGTGATTACTTGCGCATTTGTAACGCTTGATTTCTTGGGCCAGACACATACACACATTCATTAAATGCGTGTATGTACGAACACAAAATAAATGAATTCCGTGTGGGAGACACTTACCGCTACACGACTCTCTTTCAAATCCAGACGCATAGCCAGCGCTTCACGCATGAACACATCTGGATAGTGACTTGCCGCAAATGCTGAAAACAGAAGAAAAAAAAACGTTTGTATTTTTTGCAGCATGGTATGACGACATCAATAACACCTACCACGTTCTAATTCCTCCAATTGCCATGAATTGAAATTGGTTCGTGATCGTCGACGCTTTGATGCGTTGCTTTCGTCATCGCCATCGCCATCTGTAACCAGAAGAAAAAAGAGCAACGTTATCATTAAAATTCGCCAATATTTATTTTTGCAACGGCACGAAAAAAAAATCGAAACTGAAGAAAAACCCTAAGCCAAAATGCCAAGTGCGAAAGGAGCCACTTGTTTCATTGTTTGGCTGTTCAATTTCACTCCTTTTGCGAAAACCAAACTGATTAAATTTGTCCGAACCCAACGCCAACAAAAAAAAAATACATTCTGTAAACTCATTTTCGTGATTATTCTGTAATTTGGATGCCGCACTCAAAAACCGACCACAAAGAACTAAATTTAAACATAAACTTTCCATCAGCCTCAATTATCAGCCGAAAACCGCATTCTTCACGGACACAAGGGCGTCCACAATATTTTCTTCGTTCAGCTTTTTTTCGGCCATGTTCAAATGCATTCACATTCGACCGATTCAGAATCTCAAAATTGTACACAATGCGCACGTTGTTTTTTTTGCTTCATTGAGTTTGCACTAAACACCCATTGCTTTGGATACCCTACCATTACCGTTGCATTTTCGATGCTTTTGCAGCATATTGTTGTGTGCAGAAAGCACGTAAACGGAATCACTTAATCAATTACACCGCATTACTGTTCCTCCCAAGCAGAGACTCATGTACAACCAGGCACACCGTGCAACGCACACACTGCAAACAATGTAGTTTACTTTCAATTCATTTAAAATAATATAATTTCAAATTACATTGCTGTTGTTCAAATGGTCAGACTGGATTTGATATCAAAACGTAGGACAAAAGCTACAAATCATTTTCTAGAGAGAGAGAGATAGAGATCAGATTTAGTACTCTACTATTGAGAGTTTGGGTTTTTGAAATTGGTGTGCATTCTGTGTGTTGCCGTTGCTTTTGGCTGTTGGCGACGACCAAGTGGACGGTGCTTTAATAACTTTATTCAATTTGTATCGGGCATCAGCTGCAGAAATCTTTTACGCGTTTACTTTTTTCTCCGTTTTATTTTCTGTTCTTTTGCTCGATGTGTGTAGCGTGCCCAAAGCATTGGCCATATTTTTTTTCCAAGCAACCGGTAATTATTAATTTTGTTGTATATGTGCCTCAACGGACAAATCCGTTGCGTTCTCTTCTTTTCATTCTCTTCAGCAAAGCATTTCCAAACAACTCAATTTTCTTGTTATGGAAAAACTGTCGAATTCTTTTAGTTCTTTTCTTGTTCTGCATGTTTGTCGTCGACGTCACTGGCTGGAAGCATAAAATTCAATCACATCTTCGGAAATTTTCACTTATTTATCAATAAGTGTTATGGAGCCCATGTACGATGATCGACAGATCTCTTTCATTTCATGTGACTCGCTCACATTTTCCTGGTATGCAATCAAAATGTGCCTTCAGCTGCAATCTCTTTTTGTAACTCTTTGCTTCGGTTCTTTCTTCTTCATTTTGTTTTTGGTCCCAGCATTTCTCGCCGATGATATTGAATCGCTGAGCACACACATATATTTATGATGATAGACATAATTATATGAATCATAAGTAAAAAAGAATTTTCGCAACGAAAAAAAAAACGATGACGACGACGAGATGTGCATAAATTATTATGAAAACACACATTGGATCGTTTGCATGAGTTCCGAAAAAGAGCACGCAGCACTCTTTTTATTTTTTGAGGTTTGTTTTTTTATTAACGCTGAAATGATGATGGCAAAGCCACGTTATTGCAATCAATAAACTAAAACATAACAATCCGAACACTGTGCGCGGATCGAGGTTCTGGTGATTTCGTTTGGTACTAAAAACGAACGAAATGAAAATCTTGTTGTCCATAAACAGACTTAAACATCTAATTAACTTTTGTGGTTGTCTTCTCCGATGCTGATTCGATGATTTTAAGACGCTTTTTTGCGAAATGTCTAGCTTCTTCATCGAGAGAAAGAGAGAGAGCGCTAAAGAAATGCTCTTTTAATGTGTAAGCTCACACAGAGCTCTTAGCTGTGTTACGCTTAACAAATTGAAAAATTGAATTTTTCGGCAAAAAGAGATATTCTTCTTTTTGCCGCATGCGTTTTTTTTTCTCCTGTGAAATCCTCATTCACGCTCGTTGTGTGTACGACGCGTCTTCTTTTATGAATTTATGAAGAGATTTGTTTTATGTTCAACAAAATTATATAATGATTAGCATGCTGACCGCGAAAAGGGAGAACAAAGTGAATTTCAGGCAGCATCAAGAGAGAAAAAAAAACGAAGAAAAAAAAAGGTATACGCAGCTACATGTAACCGATTATTTTGTAAATTCACCGATTCTTGAACTCAGCATGCTGTATCTTTTTTTCTCGTTCGTTTTCACTCTGCAGCCTTTCAAAACGCAGCAAATTGATTTATAAAACTGGAAAAAAGAATCCGAAATAAGCAAAAACAATTTATTATACACGCTCAATAGAGGGCCTCGTTTTTTATTTGCCGTTGAAAATTTCCTTTGAGGCAAAACATTAAGACGGAAGAGAAGCACAACAATAAAAACTCATTTACACACAAACATACACACACTGAGAAAGGAGACAACGGCCAGAGACGGAACGAGAGAAGACGAGAAAGAAAACACATGAACCAAAGAGATAAATTATAATTTTAAGCTCAAAAATTAAGACATTTTCATCATTTTCGGTCGAAGTCATCATCAAAAGAAGTCTTTCATTTCGACTTATTCCCTTGGTAATTTATATTTGTTCTGGTTTCGTTTTTATTACTTCGTTGCTGATTTCGTCTACCTGCAACCGATTTCATTCTGTAACGATATAACTCATTTTCGATCCTTTGTAGCGTTTGCTCGTTCTCGTTAGAATCAGACTTCTTTATTGAATAACATATTCGGCTACGAAATTTAGTTGTGAAGAGAGTTGATGAGATGATCCATTTGACGATCCTTTGATGGTCACGCTCAATTTGATTGCGGCCGCAGCGCAGCAGTGGTGCGCATGGAAACCCTGCAGCGATCTATACACAACAATATCCATCCATTGTAATAATCAACCGAGCCGATTTGACATAGTCACGCATCGATCACATTTCAATTGACTCGATGCATTTCATTTGCGCGGTGTGATCGCGCTACGTGTTCGTATTGGTTCGGTCTCGACTATTAATAAACCACTTAATAAATCGGTAGTAATTAGAAATTATCACTTTAATTAAAAATTAATTGCAACTGATCGAAAGCAACAGAAATAATTAATTAAAAACAGAACAATCACGCTGCTAATGTTGATATTGTTTTTAATGGGGTTTCATGGTTGATATTAGCCAACGCCACGTAGTGACGGCGGCTGATTAAATCCCCAATAAAGATATCCAAATCAACGAGACCTGATTGACAGTGAAATGGATGTATTGCGCCTGCAGCGGCACACATTGTGTACGCATATTGAGAGCAGAGAGAAAACAAGCTACGGAAAAAAAAAGCCGCTCAGATTTTTGCACATATTTCCATTGAGTTGGAAACTATGCTTTCGTACGCAGTTTTAATATAGCCATTTGTTTGGGACACAGTTGTGCCTGACGCATTTGCATATCTGTAAATTGTGGCAACTTCAAAGCCTCTATCTTGTAATTTATTCATTTTCATTTTCCTTGTGTGCATTTTTTTTCTTCGTTCGCCGTGTTTTACATGCGCTACGCACTGCTCTGCATGTTTAAATTGTTGCAAGTCAATTTTCATTTTGTTCACTTTTGGTTGTGTGTACTACACTGTGCCTACTCTGTGTGTTTTTTTTTTCGTCTGTTTGTTCGTTCGCCTGTCGTTGTTGCGCCTTTAACGCAATACTAACGTGTAATCATTAGTTTACGCGGTAATTGATTGAAAGTATAGCATTTTACGAGCACAATGCACATTGCAAACAGCTCGCCTTATTGTTCCCCGATTGAATATTCAATGTATCAAGTAAACCATATCATTGTACGGCTCGTTTTTTTTTTGTCTTCTTCTCTGTGTGCTTCTTTTGCTTTCATTATTTTGACATTTCGTAACTTACGAATCATAAGCTATGTTTACCGAGCCAAAAATGCTTCACATTTAATGAGCTGAAACACGTAAAAATTGGCAGGCGAATGAAAAAAAAAATGCCACGAAATTGATACAGCGCAGTTTACAATTATGATCCGAACAAAACGGGACATATTTTGGCTTTTGTGTAAACAGAAATTGTTGGTTTTTTTTCGTCTCCGAAACATAAACGTTGGCTTCGTTCGAAAGCATCTTATTTTCCATGCAACGACTTCTTTCGCATCTTGCGCATTGTGTGTTGGCATTTCGCAGAATTTTCGCATTGTGTTTTGTTCCTTTCAAGGTGTAAAACTCCATCAAAAATAATATCAATTTGAAGTATATTCTGTATCACATTTTATCGAGTCGAGTGTTGAGACGGTGGTGCTGTGCGTATTCGTTACGTCTTCCCATCATCATTAATATTATTAATGAAGATTCAGCTCATAAAACTTAAAATGTGATTACCATTCTGACTGCATAAATAATAATACGAGGGAAAGAGTTCTCTTTTTGCTCGTCTCTTTTTTATTGTGTCAATTTCAAAATAAGCCTTCTGTTTTCTGGGCAATTCCATCCGCAAAAAAAGAAGATGATTTCGGCGAAAAAATAATAATTGCCATTCGTTTGCGTTCTCGGTTTAAATCAACAATTTAAGTAGAAAAATTCACTTGGTGTCTTCATTACGTCTCGTTATACGGTCGCGACGGCAAAAAAAATGGGAAGTCATTTTTCGATAACGACAATTATTCAATTGCACAATTCTTACACCATTCTCAAGTTCAACCATCACCAATTACCTATAACACTGTCAACGATTATGCAAGCGAGTCCAAGATCCAGACGAAAACTCTTTTTTGTGTGTCGTATTTTCTTTTGGTTCCAACGAAAAGAACGATTTGCACGTAAATAATTGTGCATTTTTGTTGAGAACATAATATTAACGTCTTCATGTGTATGATTTTGTGTT